TAAAAAATAAATACTATCTTGTAAAAGGATCTCAAAGGAATTTAGTCATATCTCAAAATGAGCTTCTTCTTCCATGGAACTTGCTGGAAAACTCTTCAAGTCACCACCAGATTCTTAACCATCGTTTTGCTTCCTCTCCATTAACCACGCTGGTTTTGATCCGCATGAAATGCAGAGAGCAAGATCAACCTAGCACAGACTATTTTTTCCATGATGCACAAACTATTTTTTGCCATGCAGGTGAGGAACTTTGTTGGACATTGTTGCTAAGAGTAGTTGCTAACTTTCACATCAAAACCTACATCGGCATTATCCTAGATGCCTTTTTTGGGTCTATGAGACATGAAGACAAAATGAACTTCAGAAGTGTGTCCATTCAAAGCAAGGAATAGAAAGTACATTCTACGGTGCTTGCCCTTTAAGGGCGGAAAGCATACTGAAACATGAAAAAAGAGGAGACAAATTCAGTTAGTGTGAGGTAAAAGGAACTTGTAATAGAACAAACCTTAGGCTAGGATTCAAAATTTCAAAATGGCTACCCATCTAAACAAAGTCTAAAAACCTTATGGCTAAATTTAATAAAAGTTAAACTTAAATCAATTTGTTAACTCTTTCTCGTGCTCTAAAAGGCTATTGAGCTAATTCTTTTTCATAGATAAACCAAAAAAAAAAAAGAAGAAATTAATCAAATTTTCGCGAGGGAGATTTTAACCTCATACTTGCTTTTAATGATTTTTGGTCATTAGTTTAAGGATAATAATCTTGACATCTAGGAGAAGCTAAGATGATGTGCAATTCATGGAGTATTTAAGACTATTTTCTCCATTACTCACCTGCTTTTTGATGTTACAGATTAATACATAACCTTTGGCTGTTCCTTAATAACGGCAAAACCAACAAAATGCTGCCTGGCCCCTCATAGCTGACAGGCAGTCACTGTTCTTCATATCATTGTCCATGTAAAAGTCATGTTCCAAGAATATTAGATAGAACAAACATGATAGATGCACTTGAATCAAAATGAAATAATATTCAACTGAAATGAAGAGCATGGTAACCAACCTTGCATTAAAATTAAAAATAAAAGGAAAACAATCGCAAAGTAGAGAATGCTAGACATACCAGCTTCACATCTGCCTGTGCATGGCAGTAGTTATGTTTTCATGCTTCTTCCATATATGATAATCATTACCACCTAGAAAGATAAAAAATTTTCAAAAGCATTGTCAATTCATATTTTTTTACTTAATGCACATGAAAAAATATAGCAAATGAAAACCCATGTTTATTTCTTTAGTAAACACAGCCAAAACTCAAAACAGAAAGAATTAGAAACTTCAATCCTACGCTTTTCCATTTTTAAAGACTCTAGAAAGATGAAACATTTCCTTCTTTCTGAAGTCTTTCCCGAAGAGAAAAGAAACCTAAAATTCAAAATTCAAATTCTCTTTCTCTTTGTTACCTTAGCAAGCAAGCATGACGCAAGAACTTATCTTTTTTCACCTGAGAGAAAGCAGAATCAACCCTAACCCAAATGCACTTCAATGTGGTGACGTTTTTGGAAAGTGAAGAGAGATCGGCATTATTAAGATATCCAATTGCTTCTAAAAGTGCTGATATACTCTCTTTCCTTTTTCATTTCTGTTTAATGAAAGCAAGAAGAATTCTTTTTGTAAAAATTTAGCAAAAAAGAAGCCAAAGGAATTCTTTCTGCAGTTACGTAAATCAAAAAAGAAGATGAAAACAATTGAGGACCAACCTAGCAAATCCTGAGCAGAAATAGCTAGCAACTCCTTACTTGTTATTTTCAGAAAGCTAACCCAACAAATCGAGGGTGGAAATAGCAACCTTCGAAGGAATAGGAAATCCGCATAGGTGAGCAATCTGAAGGTAGCAGAAAGGTCTTAATAGGAAAGCCATTGAGGATCGAGCGGTAATCTGCGGTAGTTTCTTGCTGTTTCTAACGAGGAAATAGTAGAAGCATAAAACTAAAAGAAACAGATTGATAAAAAGTCAACGGTGCTTGTCGTTTTGGACCACCTAAGTCTTCTATTAAGACTACCGGGAAGCGTTATTAACAATAAGAATTAATTATTATTATCATTATTATTATTATTTTATATTCAGAATAAGGAGATTGGAGAATACACATGCACCTAATTATTTGGACCGTGAACCTCAGGTGTGGCAATGTCATTGAACTGTTGGAATCTAGAGCTGTTTGCTATCAGATATAATT